GTGGGGGGGGGGGGGGGGGAGGGAGGTGCAGGAGCGGAGAGGAGGTAGATGTGAAAGGTTGCCCAGGACTTGGGGTGGCTCCTGACACAGCCAGGGAAGATACATGCCTGTCCCCCATAAGCTGCCCCCTTCCTCCCTGCACCAGTGTGAATGTTTGGGCTGCAAGGAACAGAGAAACCAACTCAAAATGGTTTAACCACATGCATCAGCTCAGGGAAGGGGACATCCGGGCTTTATGTGTCTAGGGTCAGTCCAGCAGCTGCTGATGTTAAGAACCCAGGGTCCTTTGGTCTCTCACCTCTGCTCTGTGCCGTCCAGGCCCTATCCTATCCCACAGTTGTGGGAAGAGCCATTGATGGTGACTGAGGTCCATGTCAGGCAGGGAGAGTGTGCTGGCCTCCTCAGGCTCTCTCTTACAGCCGAGAAAGTTCCCCTGGCCACTCATCTTAGCAAGACTCTCTCCAAGTCTCATTGGCTCCAATGGGCTTTGCCTGTGAAGGGTCAGTGTTCTTGCTGGAAATGCTAGCTGGTTTAGGCAGAAAGGAGAATGTAATAAAGGAAGCTGGATATCCCACAGAATCATTGGTGGGCTGGAAGAAGGAACTTGAGGCTAAGCTTCTAGGAAAAATGCCCCAAGCCACACTGCAGGCCTGGCCCTATGAGCTAGCTGCTACCCTCCCAAGTCTGCTCTCACAGCAGCCACCACTGCCGTCAGCACCGATGCAGCTCTCCATCAGGAGGTCCACTCTACACCACCATCCCCAGAGCTGGCTGCTTTGGACACCGGTCACATCAACAGAACCCAGGATGGGCCTCACATGGTACCTGTGGCCGGCAGAGCCTACATCATCTCCCAGTCCTAGTTGCAAGATAGGCAAGAGATTTGCAGCTGGATTTCTGCTCTAGGGTGCTGGGACCTTATAATGTTTGATTTCCTCAAATCACATATGGGCTAGGCAGGCGTCCTCAAACTTTTTAAAGTGGGGGCCAGATCACGGTCCCTCAGAGAGCTGGAGGGCCGGACTATATGAACTACTAATTTCTACTGTACCACCTCGGCTGCGCTCACTGCCCAAAAAACCTGGCGGGCCGGATCAGACTCCTCTGCGGGCTCATGTGGCCCGCGGGCCGTAGTTTGAATATGACAGCTTTGTCACCCTTGACCAACCACCAGTGGGGCAGAGGTGTCAGGATTCCATAATGAGCTTGGATTGGCCAACAGGGCAGAATGGGCATGTAGGGACCAGTGGCATTCAACACATCACTCTTCTGCCTCCAGTTGGTTCTCTCCTCTCAATCCCATATGCTCAGAGTACATACATGTCCAAGATGCCTAGAGGTCCCACCACCCTCCTGTCTTCCCAGCTACCAACACTTACCTTCTCCTTGCTGATCCAAGCCATCCCTATCTCTGGAATGTTCTCCCCTCTCCTCCTAGTGCACTCTAATGTATCCTTCTGAACTTAGTTCAAACAAGTTCTTTCCTACCTTTCCATCCAGACTTTTTTTTTCCGGGGGAGGAGGTAAGGGAGCCATTTGCTCTTCTTTTTCATCTTATTTATCACATAACATTTTAGCATTTATAGGTTCAATTATTTAATTAGCACCTCTCTCTCCTTTTTGGCCATAACTGTGATGAGAGCATGGGCCATGATCTGTCTTACTCATAGCTACTCACATAATAATTGGCTCTTAAGTGCTTAATATGTGTTTAATGAATGAATGAGCACTAAATGAATCCATTTTAGGCATGTATAAAATTCCTCTTGGATCAACAGATATTTAAATAGCACTGTTTGGGAACTGTACATTAAGCCTTTAGACGTGTGCATATTAGAATCATCTCAGTTGTTTTGTGTTGCTTTTTTTTTTTTTTTGTCAAACTATAATGTCTTCAATGGATCCTGTTATGTCCACTCCTTCCATGGTGACAGGTTGCCATTGATGGGAATGTGCGGTATACCTTGTGTCAGGGTAGAAGAAACCTCCCTTTGGAGTGCCATGGCTGAGGGTGATGGCAGCTTCAGTTCCTGTAAACCCCCCCACCACCTATCATGAGATCACTATAGTTATATTAACTCCCAGCCTCACCAGAATTCTCTTAAAAATTTCAGCTTAGTTGTTTTTTCACTTGTTTGTTTTTGCCAGAAACTTAAAAATATTTGGGTGACTTTTTCTATACAAGGGGAGTCTTTTTAAAAACCAGCTGCTAGTCTTCCAGGAAACTGGGAAGAGCTTGAAAAGAGTCTAGTCTCTTTTCATGATCAGGATTTCATGATCATGATTTCATGATCATGATGGAGGAAGAACAGGGGTAATTTTGTCCATTAAAGAGCATTTATCGTTTCCAGAATGCCTGAACAGAAAAGGCCACATCCCTCCAAACTGATTTGGAGTTTATGTTGAGAGATGAGGAATGGATGAAATATCACAGCCATCCCCAGGATAATAATAGCTATAATTTATTGAGAGCTTAACCTGTTCAAGGCACTTTCGTACATGCTTCACAAATATTAACTTGGTTAATCCTCCCAACAACCCATGTATATCCTTAAAAAAAAAACACACACACACAAAACTCTCTATATCATATGGAATGTGGAGTAGTCAGAAATAGGATAAATTATTTTGAATTTAGAAACCCCTTCCTTATTTATTTTTAATTGATTTTTAGAGAGAGAGGAAAGAAGGGGGATAGAAACATCGATGAGAGAGAAACATCATCTATCAGCTGCCTCCTGCACATCTCCTGCTGGTGATTAAGCCTGCAATCTGGGCATGTGCCCCAACTGGGAATTGATCCAGACACCTCTTGGTTCATGCGTGAACACTCAACCACTGAGCCACACCGGCTGGGCTTATCGCTTATTTTAGATGAGAATATTGAGGCATGTTCAATCTGGAGGAAAATATAGTGTCTCAGACTGGAGTCCTGAACTCAGGGGATTTTTAGGTTTTCAGCTTCATGAAGACATAAGTTTTTGGGAGCAGGGAAGAACCTTGTTTTGGTCACTGAGGTCAAAGCTCGTGGTTTGGGGTATAGCCTGACTTGAAGTGTAACCCCAGCCCTCCCACTTACCAACTGTGTACCCTTAGCAAATTCTCTCTCCTCTTAGTTTCTTGACTTTCTTAACTTTAAAATGGGTACAATTTACCATCCACATGTGGCTCTTGGGAGGACTAAATGAGCTAATGAATGTATAGCACCTGGAGTAGTATTTGACACCTTGCTGCTGCTCATAAGATTTGATTTCCCCACCTCTCTCACTTCCTCGACAGATGTGATTTCCCTTTCTCTCTCACTTCCTTAATCGGGTGGTTTGAGTGATGCTGGCCCGTGGAGGGACACCTATGACCTTTGAGAGTAGCATTGCTTCTGGAGGGATTGACAGGCTTGCAGGTGGGCAAGCCAACTTTTGTTGACATTGATGTGGCTATCAGGGGGCTGAGTAAGGCCCTGATGGTGAAGGGATAGCTAAAACCTCCAAGGCTCTTGATTTGACAACAGCTTGTTGGCCCAGCCCAACTGGCTCATGAGGCTTTAGTGCAAGGCAGCAGTTAGCTCTGAACTCAGGCCCAAGTGCAAATCCTGTCTCATTACAGAAACTTAGGCCAGTTTCTTCATCTCCCTGAATTTCTGTTTTACTCTGACTTAACTTGAAGACTATTGGTAGTGACCTTGAAGTGCCCTCAATCAATGCTAGTTCTTCTTCAGAAACAATGACAATAATAGTATTTGTGGGGACTATGTTCCAAGACCCCCAGTGAATGCCTTACACCTGGAAGAGTACTGAACTCTTATCTGTACTATGTTTTTTTCCTATACACACATACCTATGAAAAAAAGGTTACTTGAATACAAGCACTATGATTCTAAGGCATTTGATGAGATAAGAGAGGCAGCTACTGAGTGACTAACAGAAGGGGATCACATAAAGCAAGGATAGCTGGACCGAGGGATGATTCATGTCCCCATCTGGATAGAACGGAAGGCTGGAGATTTCATCACACTAGTCAGAATGGCCTGCACTTGAAAACGAATGAACTGTTTGTTTCTGGAATTTTCCATTTAATATTTTTGGACTGTGGTTGACCACAGGTAACTGAAACTGCAGAGAGCGAAGCCCTGGATAGGGAGAAACTACTGTTTATAATGTTACGATTTTCCCCTTAAGAAGTAGTCCTGTGGTTCTCTATGCCACCTAATATCACATGCATTCTGGTTCTATGTCCTGTGTCCCATAAGAACTACTGTGCTCTCTGCCATCCTCAAAATGTCACTGGTCTGGAGAGGAGATAGAGCAAAATATATTCAGGTCATTTTCAGGGCGCTGTACGGGATCTAGAACAGGGAGGCCTTTAGGAAGGTTGTGTAATTTGGGGGAAGTGTTTTCCTGACAGCAGCTCCAAAAAACCAGAGGGATTGTAGCAACTAATAGCCTAGGGGCTCTCACCTGGGTGAGCCTTGGGAGGGAAGTCAAGACTAGTGCTGAGACTAGTGTTCTCAGCGGAAGGGGGGCAGGAACAGGGGCCTGTGGGGGCTTGTCATGGAAGGGGGGAAATGGGGCTTTGGCTTGGGAGTCAAGACAACCCCAGATGCCAATTCCTGCCTTGTGTCCTGGAGCTAGTGACTTCACCTTGCCAAGCCTCCGCTTCTTCCTCTCTGGAATGGGGAGTACCAGAATGGTAATACCCATTTCTTGGGGGCTGCTGCTGGGACCCAAAGGGAGCTGTAAAAGCACTGGGCACACCTATGCCCTGGCAGACCCGCTGCTGGGATTACTGCCACCGAGACCAGAGCCTCTGCAAAGGCTCGCAGGTCCAGGGCTGCAGGCGCGCGCATGCGCACGCGTACCGGCCGGCCAGGTGAGAGAGAGAAGCGGTCGTCCGTCTCGCACCTGGTTATTAACGCTTCGCCTTCACGGAGGTGGGCGGAGCGGATATAACGACTGAGGCGCAGGTTGCTAAGCACACGGCTAGGCCAGACCCCTCAGCTTATAGGGAGCGCGCCGCGTCTATCCCGGGCCCGGCTCCGTGCGCGCTGGCCGCGGGAGGGCGGGGGAGCGCCGGGGAGCCCGAGGGGAGCGAAGTCTCGCGATATCGCGCGCGGCGGCGGTGGCGGCGGCGGCGGCGGCGGCGACGGCAGCAGCGGCGGCGGCCGGGGAGGTGAGCTGCGGGCGGTCGTGGCGACCGTTGGGGCCGAAGAGGGGGTGCGAATGGCGGAGACCGAGGGTCCGACGCGGGAACGGGCCGGGCGAGCGGCCCGCGTCCTGGGCGGCGGTCCCAGCTCGCTCCGCGGCTGCAGCGGAGCCGCCCGGTCGGTCCGCCCCGTCCCGGGACCCGCGCGGACGGGGCGGGGCGGCCTGGCCGGGGCCGCCCGGGGTCGGTCCCCTTTGCAGCCCGACGGACGCTGCTCGGCGCCCGCCTCAGCCCCCCCAAACCCTCCCCACTCCGGCTGCGGTGTGGCGCCGAGGACGCGGTGCTGCTGGCAGTGCCAACGCCGTTTGAGCCTTGCCCGTACGCGGGGCACTCAACTTGCCCTCCGGTGCTGCACCGAGGGGTGCAGCTCCCCGCCCGCAGTCACACAGCTGGGAGGGGGCGGGACGGGGCTCAGGCCGGGCACGCGGACCCCGGCGCCCACGCCCGTCTTGGCCGCCCCCACCCCCCCGCCCCCGCTCGCAGGGCTTTCAGGCTGGAGTTCTAACCACCGGGTCCCCGCCGGGCTGCAGAGGGTGTGTCTGGGCGCCGCTGCCCCCCAACCCTCCCAAATAGAATGCAGCGTGGTGTGTGAAATACTGGGGAGGTGGTCCTTGGCTTTTTTTGTCAAATTCCCCCAAAGGGTCCTTGGATCCCGAAGTGGTTCAGAACTCTTGTTTGTTCCGGTGGGAGGACAGAAGTGGGCTTAGAGCGGCGGCGTGTGTGTGTGTCAGGTCAGGTGGAATTGGGATATTGGATCCCCGGACTTGTATTATTAGTTAGGCAGCGGAAACTTGTTAAGTCTGATTTTTTTGTGAAGCACGTGATTCTACTCTTGGAGCAGTGATGCTCAGAACGAAGGCTCCTTCCCTTCGCCGCAGACATTTATGAATGAATGAAGCCCACTTGACGGCCGTGGAATGAAACTTACCATGAAATACACATCATCAGTTTCAATGGCAAGGGAGGTCTAAAAGGAGAGCAATGTGTGACATGCGTCGCCCAATCACTGTGGTACTTACTCTGTTAGAAGAGAGCACGTGCCTGGGTGTTTGCACCTGCTTCCAATGAATGAATTTGGATCAAAGAGCGATAAAAAAAAATATATATATATATATTAGGAGCTATTTCTAACAAGAAAAAGAAGGACCAGAGATACAGATGGACACTGTGTGTGTGTGTTACCTAAGTGTTGCATAACCCATTTATGATAATAAACGACATATTAAATTAGAGATAAAATGCCAAGATAAATTATAGACTATCACATTCAACACACATAATATAACCCCTCTGTGACTGCCATATTTTCAAGTTACATTGTATAGCACGTTTTGTGTCACAAGCTTCGAGACACATACTGGATTCTTTCTGCTTACTGATAATAATGAATAAAATAACAAGATTGAAATTTAAGGCTTCAATGCCAGTATCTCAATTACTAGTTTAGATAGTCCCAGTCTATGACATTGCAATGTTAGCATTATGTGATGTGAGAAAAATGGTCACTGATTTTTAGACATTATTTTATCTCTACTTTTTTCACATTAGCTATATTCTCCTAAATTACCTTGGGTTTTCCATAATATAAAGACTTTTCAGTGTGTGTCCTAAAGTGATGCCGTTTTATCGTGATTAATCTAGTTGGATATTTAAAAGATTCTCAATACAACTCTTCACTACATGAGTCTGTCCCATGCATCTTGACTCCCAAACACGGTGGTGTCTCCAGTCACTTTGATAACTGGTCATGTCTCTTAGGAGCAGGCGTCTTCAAACTACGGCCCGCGGGCCACATGCGGCCCGCAGAGGAGTCTGATCCGGCCCGCCAGGTTTTTTGGGCAGTGAGCGCAGCCGAGGTGGTACAGTAGGAATTAGTAGTTCATATAGTCCGGCCCTCCAGCTCTCTGAGGGACCGTGATCTGGCCCCCACTTTAAAAAGTTTGAGGACCCCTGCTAGGAGATAGTACTAGCCCCCGTGTGACCTACTGTAATGAACAGCCTTAATTGTAATTTTACTAGAGACCCAGTGCATGAATTCATTCATGTGGGGAGGGGCTGTGGGCAGTGGGCCATTCAGCCCTGCCCCTGAATTGGGAGGTGGGGGTGGGAGGGCGTTGGTGGGGGTCAGTGGCCAGGGGAAGGCTATGGGAGGTTGGCCGGCCAGCTCCACCCTGAATTGGTGTGGTGGAGCTGATAGGGGATGGAGCTGGCCGGGGGGAGGAGCTGCAGGCCAATGGGGGTTGTGGGGGCCCACCAGGAGTAGGGCTTGCCAGCCCTGCCCCTGATCGGGGTGGGGGGCAATCTGGGGTGGGGCTGGGCAGGGGGAGGGGCTACAGAAGGCCAAGCCTGCCCCCTATTGGGGTAGTGGTGGCCCAATCAGGGGCAGGGCTGGCCGGCAGGAGGGGCTGTGGGTGGATGGGGTGGTGAGGGCACATAAGGGGTAGGTGGCCAGGGGGGAGGGGATGCAGAAGGTTGGCCAGATGGCCCTGCCCCCTATTGGGGTAGGGGGTCGATTAGGGTTGGGGCCAGCCCGGGGAGAAGGGCTGCGGGGGTTGGCCAGAGAGGGAGCACCCCCATAGGGCCATTCGCTGACCTCAGTGGGCCTCATAGCAACCAATCGTTCTGGTCATTGCAGCGTTCTGATCACTGGCTTTTTGTATATATACTAGAGGCCCAATGCACGAAGAGTCGTATAAGAATGGGCTTCCTTCCTTTGGCTGCCTGCACTTCCTTCGCTCTGGCTGGAGCCCTCTTTCCACCTTCCCACCTTCCCGCACTGCCCAGAGGCCCGGAGTAGCTGGGGTGATATGGAGCACCTGCATCGTCACCATGGTGATGACGCAAGCGTCCTGCCCCACCCAGGCTGCTCGGAGCCTGCATATACAAATTAACTCACCATCTTTGTTGGGTTAATTTGCATACTTCTGATTGGCTGGTGAGCATTGGGAAGGTATGGTCAATTAGCATGTACTCTTTTATTAGTGTAGATATAGGCAGAATTTGACACACACAATTTTTGTTGGGAAAATTTTTCTTTCTGATATGTATTACATATAAAAAAATCAGGCCCTTGGCTACTGGCACTTCATTGATTATTCTAGAATTTCAGGTGGGAGACAAGATTAGTAACTTATGTCCCTCTGTCTGAAAAATTTGCTTTGTTTAATGGAAATTCTTGTTAGAAATGTTGACAATTAAACTCTTGAATAATTGAAGAGTTTGAGACTAGAGTTGTGAAGTGACACCAATATGTGTAAATAACTAAAAAGGCCTGAATTAAATAAAAATACAAATTTTTACTGTATAACCACTTTTTAAATAACCATCATTCCTATGTACTAATATCCATATTAGAGAATTTAGAAAATGTGGTTGTGTACAAAGGTGAAAATTAAAATGACCTGAAATCACATACGTCTTTAGACCTATTGGTATGATTAGTTAGAAATTGATTTTTCACATGAAACTCAGTAATGAAATTTAGGGAAAAATGCAAATTGAGTTAAGAAAGTTCAACTCCGACTATTATATAGCTACAAGAGTAACTTAAATTTCTTTGACTCTTGCTAAAATTACAAAGCAAGTTTATTTTTCTGTTTTGTTCAATGGATAAATTGCTTCTTGCTGTAAAATGTTTATTGTTCATTGGTTGTAACTTTTGAAAGGTGCTATGGAAACAAACATGTAAGTAAAGACTGTTATCAAAATAGAAGGATATATTTTAAATTGACTAGAGATAGATTCATTGAATACTTTTGGATTGGAAAGTTACCTAAATTGAGAGTAATTAATTTTTATTATTTTGAGCAAGCAATATCACACTCCAGGATAAAAAGATATCACTCCTCCTTTTTTTTTCCTTTGTTACTTAAAAAAAAAAAAAATTACTACTACTTTTTATATTCACCTGAACAGAACTGAATCAAATAATATGACTTGCATAGATATGTACCGTATTTTTCGGACCATAAGACGCACTTTTTTCCCCCCAGAAGTGGGGGGAAAAAGTCCCTGCGTCTTATGGTCCAAATATAGCCTACACATATACTTTTAAAAAAAAAGTTTTTTTACTTGCCCGGCTCTGTGTGGTCTCTGTGTGCTTGCCCGGCTCTAAATTGTTACGGTAAATTGTTACGGTTTTTAGGCATGGGGAATACATTGTTGAATGGGCAAAAATCCATGCTTATATGGATGAAAATGAGTTATTTATTATGTACATACCACTGAGATTTATAATTAAGCAATTTCATTGATGTTTTGAGATGCATATCTAAGATGGAATGGTATTTTAAAATTGGCATGGTTTAATTGGCAACTTTTCTTAGCGGTACCTAAAATAATAGTGTGTCTGAAAATTGATGGCATTTTAGATTCAGTAAAATAGGGTATAGAAATTTCAGCACATTGGTTTATGTTTGACACCAAAAACTTTATCAAGGGATGACTTTCAAAATGAAGCTATACGACATGTCTAGATCCTTCCTTCTAAACCCTAGTTCTTTACTTGGAAGATTCCTATAAAACAAATGGAGAGTCAGTATTTGTAAATATGAGAAACAGACTGCTTGGTGATTTTCATGGTGAGCAGATGGTGGTTTGGTTAAAGCGTTTGAAGTAAAGTTAATCAGACAGTATAACCAGCAGGTGTATGGATATGATTTTTTTTTTTTATGATTCTGGAAGATTCATAGGTCCACTTATAAAAAACTTCCTTTCTTAAATTGGACATCTTTAAATAGGATTTCAAAAATTAATAATAATTATTTTAATAAGAAATATGTTTGCAAATATATTTACTAAGTGTTAAGTACGGAATTTATATGGGAGGCTGCATGATATCTCTTAGCCAGGAAACCTGTCTAAGGACTTTTTCCGTCTGATAGTGAGGGCAGGTTTCATAGGAAACTCAACCACATGAAGAGTGCTTATCTTCTTCCACAGGTGGACGTTAGCTTTTCTTCTCAAAATGGGGGCCCTGAACCAGCAGCATCTTGTCCACATGTCATTTTGTATATGTGAGGTGTCTATGTAGGATATCTTTCCAGAAGTGGTATTGCTGGGTCAGTGAGCAATGCAATTATAATTTGATAAATGCTGCCCTCCTTCAGGGTTGTACCATTTGGAACCTTCTAAAATAATATTATTTAGAGCACCTGTTTCTCCATAGCCTCACCAGCAGACTCCAACCTGGGGGTTTATATCAGTTTGATAGGTGAAAATGATAACTAGGTGTAGTTTTAATGTGCATTGCTTTGATTATGAATGAGGCTGGATATCTTTTTATATACTTAAACCTATTTCTAATTCTTTTTCTATGAACTATCTGTTCCTGCCCTTTGCACATTTTTCTTTTGGATTGCTTTTTCTCTAATAAATTTCTGTTTGTAAATTAGCGAGATTAGCCCTTTGCGATGTGAGTTGCAATTACCCCCAGTTGTCATTTGTATGTGGGTGTTTTTTTGTTTGTTTGTTTTAACTTACTTTCATGTATTTTGGTATGGAGCAGGCTTAAAAGTTGTATCTTTAAGTTTTCAGTAGTTAATATTAATTTTTTTCAGGTGTCTGGATTAAGTCACAGAAAAGCCTAAAAGAATTTGGAATTTGCTTTTGTTTTCTTTTAATACATTTATGGTTTTATTTTTAAGTTTAATCTTTGATCCATGTAGAATTTATTCTGGCATTCAGGGGTGATGTATACATTCAGCTTTGTCTTTTTCAATATGCCTATCAGTTACCTTATCCATTTATTTCATAATACAATGCACCTTTATTGTATTCTGAACTTCCTGATGTATTGGGGCACACCTCTTAACTCCTGTTCTATTCCTTTAGGCTCTATTCATACACTAGTATACGTTATTGATTTTATAAAATGTTTTGCTATTTCATAAAGCTTCGTTTCCCTGGCAGTTCTTGCTTGTTTGTTTTTCCATATGAACTTTAGAATTATTGTGTCTTGTTCTGGTGGGGGAAAACTCTTTTAAAAAATTGAGATCATGTTAAATTTATAAACTAACATAGGGAGAATTGATATTTTTCTGGTGTTGAAATTTCCTATCCAAAGACATTGTATATTTTTTTATTTGATTTTACTCTCGAATCCTTCTGAAGCTTTTAAAGATTTTCTCATATAGGTTTTGCCCATTTCTTGTTAAATTCATCTTAACTATTTTATCTTTTTGTTCTTGTAAGTACAATCATCTCTTCTTTTCTCTTTTCTAAATGGTTGTGACTGTGTATATGAAGGCTGTTTATTTCTGTGTAAGTACAGAAGTTGGTAGACCCTGGAGTTCTAAGTATTTTTTAACAGACTTTATATTCAGCAAAATCCCTTATATATATTTTTGCCTAAGAAAAGGAAAGACTGCAAGCTTAATTTTGTATCTGCATTTATTAGTTCCGTGGACATCTGGGGATCTATTTGACTACTCAGAGCCTGAGTTTCTTAATCTGTAAAAGGAGCAATTTTGTCTTTGTTAGAAAGTTGGGAGAATTAAAGAAAATATAAAGCTCATCATGTAATTCCACTTCCACCATCACTGCCAACATGGGTTGAAATTTTGTTCTTTTTTCCTTTTTCCTACTCTTACCCCTCTCACATTTAAAATGCAAACAAACAAACAAACAAAAAAACACCAAAAAACAAAAACGAAACCATGAAGAAAAACAATAAAAATTTATTCAAATAGAAATGATAACATATATTAAAATTGAAGTGGTTCAATTTGAGCAGGATAATCAACATACTTGAACAGAGAACAAATTCTCCCTGCGTTCTATCCTCTTACTTATTGCCCTCTTGGGTGCACCCTGACAATGAGGCTGCCCAGACATCCTGTGTTTCCTCTCACGAATGCTCTGTCCATTTCTACCAGTTCACATACGTACTGCCCCGTATCCGTAAAAGCACAACATCTTTCTCCTCGTGTAGCTCATCTGTCCTATAACATGACCCGGGATAGGCTAGAAACTGTCCATCCTGTCCACCAAAGAATGCCTAACAAAATACCTGACAATGAACAGAGTCTGAGATTTGTTAAATGAATAATAATTGGCATTGATCTTTCTTTTGTCTTATGTGCTTGGGTGACTCTTATCTCTCTCCAAGTACCCTGTAAACCCCTACAAGACAAGATTATGCCATTTGTCAATAATAAAGTAATGTTGGTACAGATTTTTATTATACAAAAATATCTATATATATAAAAAGCCAGTGACTGGAATGCTGTAACAATCAGGATGACGGGTTGCTATGACACCCACTTGCGGCCAGCGAACCAGACTGAACAGGGGGTGGGGCCAGACAGCCAACCTCCTGCAGTCCCTCCCCCCAGTCAGCTTTGCCTCTGATGGGTCCCCCTACTCTGATCAGGAGCAGGGCTAACCGGCCAACCACCTATGCCCCTTCCCCAGACTGCTGGCCCCCAATTGGCTCCCCCCACACCATTGAGGGGCAGGGCCAGCTGGCCCACTGCTAAAACCCCCTCCCCATAACTCCTCCCCATGGCTGGCCCTATCCCCAATCAGCCCTACCACCCTGATTGGCCTGCAGCCCCTCCAGCCAGCTCCACCCGCTATCGGCTCCTCCAATACCAATTGGGGGTAGGGCTGGCTGGCTGACCTCCCATGGCTTTTCCCCATGGGCAGTCCTGCCCTAGTCAGCCCCCTCACCCCAGCCGGGGGCGGGGCCTGCTGGCTATTTGCCCTCAGACCCTTTCCCCAGTTGGCCTGGTCCTGATCTGCCTCTGATCAGGATGAGATGGCTGGCCAACCTCCAGCCATCTCTTCCAACAGGCTGGCCCCAATTTGCCCCACCAGCCAAACACCACCCGTGTACGAATTTGTGCACTGGGCCTCTAGTATAATAATAAAGGCAATAATTAACATTTATTGAACATTTGTTACATTCCAGAAACTTACAAAGTCTTGATGTGGATTACCTCATATAATCCTTCACAATTCTGAGTTGGGTATTGTTATTGCAACTAGAGGCCCAGTGCATGGCAGGCCCTGTCCTCTGGTCGAACTCCCGGAAGAACTCCTGGTGGAGGGGACAATTTGTATACTATGCTTTTCTTAGATAGGATGGGGAAAACGAGGCACACAGAGGCTTGGGGACTTGCTGAAGATTACACAAGCTAGAAAGTTGAGAGCTGGAATTCAGTGCTGGTGTTCTGAGTCTAGCAACCCAACTTTTCTTAGTCCTTTAAGACAATTTGTTCAATAGTATAGTCATTTATGTAGCTCCTTGAAAATTTTAGGAAAAGTTATTTAATTATACTTGCATGTCTCAACTTTCCTTCCCAACAATCCCATTTTAGTAACTTCCATTTTGTTTTCCAATTTATCTTAGATTTCATGTTCTCCAGGAGGCTTTATTTGACCAGCCTGTCTGGCATTAACTTCTATAAAAAAGTTAATTTTCACTTTTTCCCCCTTTTCCAGGTTCACAATAAAGGTGCTAATAAAGAGAATGTAAGACAAGAATATAATTGAATATTTGATTGAGGTAAGTTTTTTTATGATTTAATATTTGTAAAGAACTCTTATCTCTTATTATTGTTTTTTGTTTGTTTTGTTTTTTAATCTTCACCTGAGGATATGTTTTTCATTGATTTCTAGAGAGTAGAAGGGAGGGAGGAGGTGGAGAGAGCGGCAGAGAAACATCCAAATAAGATACATCCATTGGTTGCCTCCCGCATGGTGCCCCTTTCTGGGCCAGGGAGCCTGCAACCAAGGTATGTGCCCATAAGTGCCCTTGACCAGGAATCAAACCTGAGACCTTCAAGTCCCCGGGCCGATACTCTAACCACCAAGCAAAATCAGCCAGGGCTTATTTTTGCTTTTAATTTCTCTCCATAGCCTGTCTTATTAAGATATAAGAGGGAGATTGCTTTAGGAGTGTTTCAGTTTATGGCCACCTGTGGCTTTTAGGTGGATGCAGAAAAGGTGGGCTGTTTGAATAAAACCATTTAAATTCTTATTATCTTCTTATTTGAGGACATGCTACTGAGAAGGAGGTCTAGCAGGTGGAAATCCATAAGCTGTTTGGTGATTATATTTCCACATTCAGTGATAGCTTTGTTTTTTTAAATAGAGAGTTGAAGAGATTTAAAGTCACTTCTGGTAACATAGCAACACTTTTCTTAAATGTAAAGGTGTTGTATTTTGTTATTATAATAATGAGAAAAACCTTCCATCAGTATAAAGCAACATAATGACATAAATAAACACCCAACTTCTACCATCCAGAAATGACTGCCATTAGTATTTTGGTGAACACACTTTTAGGAATTTATCTGTAAAATAAGTATTTACATACAAATCTTTAAGTAAATTGGTTTATACTATATATGATGATCTTTTTAATGCAACAATATGCTTTGTACATTTCTACACACGATTGTAAAAGACATGTATAAATCATACATGATTATTTTACTGGGTACCTAACATGCCATTATTTGAGGCAACATAATTTATTTAATCACTCCTTTGACAACAAAAAATTTAGCTTGCTCCTAAAAGATAATAGTTAATGATGTGTTGATCAACCTTGTACTTAGGTTGTTGTATACTTACTAATTTATTTTTTAGACATACAGGAGCTGAGTCAAATATTACATGTTTTAAATGTTGATATATATGGTAAAAGTGCCCTCTGTAAAGACTAACAATTTATTACCACCACCCTCCCATCTTATCCTGACCCCCAGCAAAGTCCATGAGGTTTATGTTTCCCATATCCCTGCTCACACTGAGTTTTTAAATCTTTTTTCTCCAGTCAATAGGAGGGGGGGAAAATACCATTTTGAGATTGCAAGGTTTTTGCCTAAAATAAATTTATGTTTTCAAAGACCTCTTTCATCTTATATAATAAAAGGCTAATATACAAATCGACCAAACAGGAGAATGACTGGTCACTATGATACACACTGACCACCAGGGGGCAGATGCTCAATGCAGGAGCTGCCCTTTGGTGGTCAGTGCACTCAGCCAGAAGCCAGGCTCATTCTCCTTCCAAGGCAGCACCACTCAGTCAGAAGCTGGGCTCACGGTGGCGAGTGCAGTGGCAGTGGTGGGAGCCTCTCCTGCTCTATGGCAGCGTTAAGGAGCCCTCAGGGAATGTCCAACTGCTGGCTTAGGCCTTCTCTCCTGCAATCCGACATCCCTTGAGGGGTCCTGGACTGCGAGAGGGCACAGGTCAGGCTGAGGTAACCCCCTCCAGTACACGAATGTTGCGCACTGGGTTTAGTTTGATATATTTATTTACATAAAGAATTTCCTTATTGAGAATGTATCTGTGATTCTCATGTGTAAGTGAGATACTCTTGGACTATAAATGTTAAAATGTTGTGTTCTTTGTTTTAAATTATTGACTCATAAATATTTTTAAATTATTGGCACTAATTGTTTTGGGTACTAAAAGTGCAATACCTGTTTTTTTTATTTATAGTAGAGCTTTAAAAACTTCAGCTTCTCAATAGATTTCAAACATGGGTACAGTTGCAGAAAAGGATTTACAAACATACAGAATAGGATTTACAAACATACAGAATAGGATTTACAAACTTGGGTGATCATGGAATATTATTGAGTTACATGAACTAAGTGAATATGCTGTCATGTGTAAACCTATGAATATTGACGTTGAGTTTCATCTGTCCAAAGGATTTTGCCTGTTGCTGATAGGAATGTGGGCTCTAATTTTATGTTTGTTTTAGATTTTATTTTGACCAAATAGGATTATACACACCATTGACCTACTCCAAGTTAAAATTATTGACCCAGAACCAAGAGTGTTTTATTTTCCATCTTACATCTAGCAACTCATATGATACCTGGAATATACATGATAGACACACAAACCATTTTTGAAGGAGTAAGTGAATGATGAATATTGTCATTGAGTTAGAATTAAGATGTAAAAGAGAAGTATCTTAAATTTTAATTAAGAAACTTAATTCCTTGGAGAATAAAACTAGCACTTGTGGTTTTTAAATGCTTGTAAATATAGGCGTATATATTATAGTGACACTTGCTACTTTAAAATTTTGTAACATTTTGTTTAGATTATTGATTTGGACTATATACTATTTCTTTTCAGACTCATATACATTATGGTAGTTTACTCTTTTTCATTTGTATTTTTGTTGTTGCTATAAAGGGCAAAGTAGTATCTAAACTAGGTAAGATATTAGATCTTATTAAGGAATCCTGTTTATATTTCCTATTATAGATGAGGTATTTTTTCAGTTATGTTATTTGAAGACAAGGATAAAGTGAATTCCCAAAAACATATTTTAGTTATAATAGAGAGAAATTGAGTTGTATTTATTATAAATAGAAGTAGAAACAGAGGGAAGGTGGGAGTGGGTGGGTGGGAAGAGATCAACCAGAGAACTTGAATGTATGTATGCGTAACCCATAGACACGAACAGTGGGGTGGAGAAGACCTGGGGTGGGAGGCAGGGGTGGACTAGAAGGGATCGATGGAAGAGAAAAGGGACATATGTAATAATTTCAACAATAAAGATTTAATTTTTTAAAAATAGAAGTAGAGATATGGATTGCCAACCACTGAGAATATTTTGTGCAGTAGATTCCTATAAAGCTTTTCTGACTCCTATACCAGTTTTTCACAGCCAAAATAAACAGAGAAGATGAAAAAATTATCTACTATATTTTTTTTAATCCTCACCCGATAACGAGTTTCCACTGATTTTAGTGATAGAGGAAAAGGGAGAGAGAATAAAAAAACACATTGATGTGAAAAGGAAATATAGATCAGTTGCCTCCCATACTCACCCTGACCAGGGATGGAACTGCAACCTAGGTATGTGACTTGACTGGGAATTAAACTCACCACTTCTTGATGTAGGGATGATACTCCAACCAACTGAGCCATCTAGGTCAAAGCTGTAACATGTTTTAGCAATATTGTGGATGCTTGTCTCATACATTTTGTTTCCACTGGAGTATGGGATTCTTATAGGGAATACCTGAGTTAGTTTATTTGCATATAACATTTTAAAAATTGACTTAATAATTTAGCAATTTTTATTTGTGTTTTAATTTGCTTAGCAACTCCTTCCTTAAAAACTGGTCCAGCCTGGCGAGTGTGGCATAGTGGATTGAGCGTAGTCCCATGGACCAAGAGTTTCAGGGTTCAATTCCCAGTCAAGACACATGCCCAGGTTTTGAGCTTGATCCCCAGTAGGGGCCCTGCAGGAGGCAGCCAATCAATGTCTCTCTCTCATAGATGTTTCTGTCTCTCTATTCCTTTCCCTTCCTCTCTCCCTAAAAACAAACAAACAAACAAAACAAAAAACATAAAAATAGTCCAATTCAGCTGGCATTGCTCAGTTGTTGAGCATTGACCTAGGAACTAGGAAGTCTCAGTTCAATTCCCCATCAGGCATATGCATGGGTTGCAGATTCAATCCCCACTGTGGGGCATGCAGGAGGCAGTCTATATTAACTTTGGACTATATATTTTTTTTAAAAGTCCAAAGTTAAATATAGGCAGATTTGAAATTACTGAGTTATTAGTTGTACCTAAATTAATGAGATTTCCTAGACTTTATCCTCTGATATTGTGGCTAATGGAATAAGCTTGTATTTGTTTTCTAAAATAACCACAGTTTTTGGTTCTTTAATCTCTTTTCTATGGCAGTATAAGAATTTGTGTATTATTAGCTTTCATTACACTGATGAGTTAATTTCTTTAAACCTAATTCTAAAAATACTCCTGGAAAGTGAGGAATTACTACCAGTAGTAAAGACTATCATTTATTTCTCTTAGCTGCATTTGTAAACATTTTTATACTGTACTAAAATAGATTTTGCCCAGCTGGTGTGACTCAGTTGTTGTGTCGACCCATGAACCAGGAGGACATGGTTTAATTTCTGCCAAGGGCACATGCCCAGATTGCAGGCTTGATTCCCAGTAGTAGGGGAGAGAGGGCAGGAGGCAGCCAATCAGTGATTCTCTCTCATCATTGAAGTTTCTATCTTTCTCTCCCTTTCCCTTTCTCTCTCTGAAATCAATAAAAACATATTTTAAAAAACAAACAGATTTTAAGATATTGTTACGTATTTAGTGAGTTGGATTTTGTGCATTTGTAATAGTTTTTTTCTATTTTAGTCATCAAGCTTAAAATTTAGACTGGCAGTGTAAGTGGTTATTTGACTGGAAAGTTGGATAGAGGAGAAGTTCTCTCTTCATATACAGAATTTGTGGTGCAGAATATTTAGATGAAACTCTTATGATCAGGGTGAGAGTATAGAATTGCAGTAGGAAGGAAAAAAATTTTTAAGTGCTTATAAACAGAGGATAATAGATCCCTAGCAAAGCCAACATTGGGCTTCTCCTATAGTATCTGTAACTGAGTTGGTCTCTCACAGAGATCTTATTAACTCAGAGTGTTAAGGGTAGAGTTATAGAAAAATGGGATGGAGAATAGTAGATTTGGGTCACAAATTCCATAGAAAGCACAGGGCTTAGTA